TGAAGCCTATCTCAATTAAGCGGTGCAGAGTGGTTTTAAATGGGGCTTATGGACCTTTTACTTGAAATTATTCTCAAACTTGTATTTATTGTTATAAAATTTATTAATGGAGAATTACCTCTGTTCATCCTTCTAATAGATTAGTTTTCAAGTTTCTAGTTTGGTTTTTTTGGTAGTTACAATGTTGAATTTGTTGATTTGGATCATAAGTTGATTTTTTTTGTTGATTTTGGGATTTTTGATTCTGAACAAATAATAATAATAATAATAATAATAATAATAATAAATCATGATCCCAATCAACTAATTCAACATGGCAACTAACAAAATGTTCCATCTAGAAACATAGAAATTAATCTATTAAAAGTATGACCAAGCGATACTTAGACTTGAACTTTAATCATTGTAAACCAATTCACGATCCATCTGCATGCACCTTCACCATCTACTTGTTTCTTCGGACGTACTTAATGAAATAGGAAGTATTATGTGTCCGTGCTTGCTGCAATTTTGCCTGTAGGGGTGTGTGTAGGCTGAGTTGTGTCGGTGTAGGAGTGAGAGTGAGAGTGAGAGTGAGAGTGATTTTAACATGCAATGATCATTCTCAGTTTCCCTATTCCTAAAATGTGTTTAATCATAATTCTATCTAATTCAGCCCATGTTCACGATAATCCATTCATTCAGAGAAAAAGCAAGGGAAAACATTAAAAAAATTATCAATTTGTCTAAATTCATCTTTCCCATTCATGCTGCTGGTGTGTTAAACCGCCCGATCAAGAGTCAACACAGCATTAATACAAGGGGATTCTGTAATCCAAAAATATGGCTAACTAAAAAAATTTCCTAATTTAAAAGACTCTAATTCCAACATTTAAGGCTTCCTACTGCAATGAAATTACAATATGTTAACCCAATTACATGGCAGGGGCAAAAAACCCAAAAATCTAAAGGAGTCACTTTTCTTCCTACTGTGGTTAGAAATTGACTAGGTATTGTACATACAAAGTAGTATGCTAAAAAGTTGACAGATAACAAACGGATGATCATTTATCGTCTTTTCTTCTACCATCATTTTCTTCGTGGTTCACCGTACAAACTTGACTGGCCAATCCTTCAGGTCATTGATCTCGGTAATTTATCAAACTCTCCTGTTAAGAGGATTCACAGTCACAAAATATGTAGATGAAAAATTGAAGCGAAGCAATAAAATGATCTGCAGCAAGCAATAAATACAGCCACTACACTAAACAAGCATGTTATGACAAAAAAGCTAGCGCTAGTAGTAGTAATTGCATACAGGTATTGTAATTCCTGAGCAATTTATACCTAGGCAATCAACTTATAGAGACTATAGCAATATTAGATCAGTAAGAGCATAATAATTAATGACCACCTTTATTTTCAAAAAATAATAAAATATAGGACCAGCTGAGGGAGAAGAAATGCCACTCAGAGTAGGAGATCCAAAATCCAAATCATATGGGACCTCCCATGTCAGGAACATTTATGCTTCTTGTACTACACTACATCTGGTGCAGAGTCCTATGAACTTGTGCATTGGGCTTCAAGCCCTTCAGTCTGGTTTCCTTTTGTTCTTCAGCCTCCAACCAATTTGTGTTTTGTCCGGTTTTGACGTTTGGATCTTCCTCCTCCCTAATATGTAATTTAGCTTCGAATCCATGGTAAGTCAGGTACAGCCCCTATCCCCCACCTAAGGCATTGTAATTTTATTTGCATGTAAAAACTCAACCGTGATGGTGTTTGACTAAAACAAAGAAAAAAAAATATATCCCACTATGATCAGCGTTCAAGCTGTGATTAAAACAAATGTGGTCCTTGTCCTAATCATCCAGTCACCTATAAGCAATTCACCTAGATACATGTACTGTGAACCATTACAATTCTGTAAGTGTTATTTATCTGATGAGTATGATTTGTATATTATCAGTTCAACCACGTTCTTAGGATTAACAGCAATAAATTTGGAAAGCCAGGAGAACTTCAGACTACCTAAAGTCAGACTTAACACGAACTGTTACCCGCTGACTTGACCAAACTGAGTTGGTCAATTTTCTTGAATGATTATATAAATTTCAGAGTTGAAGCATGATTCTTACCTCTGGTGATGTGGAGAGGATGGTTGATCTGGTGAAGAATGTTGTATGGAGCCCCCATGAAATCTATGGCTGCGATTGGTCACTTATACCTGAAAAACCTACATGACCCAGAGACCCAAACTCGAGCTGTTCACCATAATTACCATAATTAGCATTGTGGTCAAAAGGATAAAGCATCATGACTGGTGGGATGGAAGGTCCATTAGAAGACACTCCACTGGGGTTCATTGCCGGAAAAGAATGAATGCCATGTGCCATATTAGGACCATTTTGGCTAGAATTCAAGTGCAATGGACCATTCTGGGATTGGTAAGAAGGGACAGACCATGTTCGCTCAGCTCGATTCTCACTGGAAGCCACCCTATCCATTCTCGAGTTCGATTTATCAGTTTGGCTGCGATTGTGGCTTCGAGAAGCAGCTCGTGATTTTGAATTAGCATTCGAGTTAGCCTCTCTATCACCATAGCTATTGTTCCTATCATAGTTGTAATTCCCCCTTCTAGTGCCAGAAGAGTGGCGCTCTCTTACAGAAACCTTCTGAAGCAATGAAATTTAAAACAATCAAAAGTAACTACTGAAGTGGGCAGTGCCTCTAAAGCAAAATGTAAACTAGTTACTAAAAGAAGAATAGAAAACCAGACAAGAACCACAAGTCAAGTGAAGCCAAGTATACAACCAAAGCCAACTAAAAACACAAAGTTGAAAGAATATATGTTCACAGTTTCAGAAGACGGTTCATCCCCACGTGCAAAATTAATCTAAACCCTGGCATCACAGTAAAAAGGCTGAAACCATTCCACAAAGCTGTCCATGCCATTACTCATAAAAGAGGACCTGAAACGAGGCTCTATTAATTTACAACTCTCTATTCCTGATAACATTCAAAATTAGGACTTAATATAAAAAACAGACACGAGTTCTGTTTCTTTTCTCCCTCCAGATTTGAATTGCAAAGTTGTTCTGTATTACAGCCAACCCTCTCAATCAATAACAGGTAATGAAAATGTTATCAGTTATTAAAGGTGTTAATTATAAAATCATTAGTACTTGTACCGATAAAAAAATCGATACATCCAAATATAGCACAAGATATGTACAATGAATTGACATATGTTTCGGTGCTTATGCCCACAAACACTTTTTTTTCTTTTTTGATAACCATGGATGTCCAGGCCAGCTTGCGCACACCTCGACTA